TTCAAAGATCCTGGTGTGCCCTGAGATCCTTTTACAGTGCTCCTGGAGACAAGTACATTCCTAGCTTTGCCCAGCATGATCCTTGCGGGAGGTAAATCTTTTTTTCTGTTGTCTATGAAGTGTCTGGGCAGCCAATTCTCCAACCACCTCTTCCTCTGGCTTATCTTCTCATGACTTTGGAGAGCAGTCTTCCTTATCTCAGAAACAAATGGCCTCCCCAAGAGCTGCAAATGGCAAAGTCAGTTTATCTGTTTGACACGTGCTTCCCTGTTTGTCTTCCAGCCTGTGTCTACTGTAGATGGCTGTGCCCCAGTCACTTCAGAGACATGAATCAATTTCCCAGCAGCATTTATCATTCCCTGCCTTAAATCAAGTCTAATCAATGCTTCCTTCATTTGCTATGGGCTGAAAAACTATATATAACATGCTTAAAAACACAGACAGGAAGGCTCAGATTACAAAGCTTCCATCAGAGTTAGAAGACACAGTGTTAAACATGTGGTATGTTCAACTTGCTTAAATGGAGATCCCCGATCAAATAATCAGAGATATGTATTTGTGAAATTTAACTTGAATTTATCTGACATGCAATGACATTATACAACAGGTCATTCTATTTAGGGACAGTTCTGTATCATAAAATATTTTTCAACATATTCTGTATAGTTTTACTCTGATTTCTTTTGGCAGCATCTGCTTTTGTCATTATTATGTAGGTTGATTTCCAGTTATGACATATAAAATAACTGAAGCCGGGTGTGTGTGTTGGTATGCGCCTTTAAACCCAGCACTCAGGAGGCAGCGGCAGGAGATCTCTGTGAGATGGAGGCTAGTCTGGTTTATATAGCAAGTTCCAGGCCAGCTAGAGCTACAGGGAGACCCTGTCTCAAAAACAAACATACAAAAAAAACCCAAGCCAAAACAACAAGAAAAAATCTGTTTATGACAGTAATACATAGGAGCTCCTCTGTTTTAAGATAATTTTAAAAACATTTCTAATAACTTGATCGTCTCTCTACTCCTCCCTGTCCATGGTAAGAGAACCTGATCCTCACAACCAAAGTGGATTTCTCATTGGCAAGTATGAAAACTGCTCCTCAGCTGCCCACCAATTTAGCATGTGGTAGGAACAATCAGGTATCACTGGTAAATGAATCTTGTGCTGGTGAAAGATGATATCAGCCTAGTTACAGCATCAAAAACTCACCACGCCCACAGCAAGGCCCTGCATTACTCTTCAAGGATAATGAGAGAGGAGAAACGGGACACAGGAAAGCCAGGCAGGGATAATGCAAAGCTAGAAGGGGAGGCATTGCTGTGATTCATTGATATAATTAATATTTCTTTCTAATCTGCTGAACTGTGTAGACTTTGATCACTAGCCTGTCCCTGAAGCGATTAGCAGGGCTGGGTCATTTCACAGTGCTGGCTCCCCTAGCAACCTGTTGTTAGGTAGCTAAATAGAGCCCTGTTCAGCTTGGGGAAGTCAGAGAGATAATAAAGATGAACCCATATGTTGATCTAATACTTTCCAGTTTATCAAGTTTTTTGAACGAAAAGTCTCACAGTTTTGTATGAGAAACAAGCAATAACAAGACAGACAAGTTCTGCATGTCTTGATCAATGACACATTACAAATATGAAGGTCATCTCATAAGATTCTACTTCCTGGCTGGGCTGGTAGCACAGGCCTGTAATCCCTGCACTAGGGAGGCCAAGGCAGGAGGCCTCTTAAGTTCCAGGCCAGCCTGAGATATATAGTAAGAACCTATTACACAGACCAACCAAAACCCAAGCCAAAAAAGATTATCTCACTTGATGATATTGTAGCCAGTTTGGTTTGTATGATGTTCACACAATGACAAAATAGTCCTGTGATGCATTTCTCAAAATATACTCCCCATTATTAGGAGACCTTTGACTTTCAGTCATATTTTCAAGATGAAAGGTTTGGAATTCTGACATATCCCTCCAGGGCAGGTCATCCCTGAGCCAAGCAGCATCAATGGGTCAGTTCTTCCTGCTGTGCTGTGACTAGGGAGTGACTGGGCTCTCCTCTCCCTTCTTTCCCCACATTTGTCTCCCATCACCCAGCATTCTTGGGAAACTCCGACAGTTACAGGAGATCCCTAAAGTTGCCTGGCAGGTTGTTTAGTACTGAACAGGCAGTCCCTCTGGACATGTTCTGAGTTGCAGGTGTGATGTAATATAGTGTTCTTAACCATCTTAAGCAAAGGCCAGGTAGCATGATATAAGAGTTTTAAGCCCCGTGAACAAAGGGAGGGCGAAGGGAATGCCATGAGCATGGAGTCTGAAGCCCCAGCACTCACGCATGTCTGTAATACTCGTGAGTGTTCACAGAGCTCTTTGGCTTTAAGACTGTCTGAGAAGGATTAAGTTTACATATTCTTTTGAGGAAGGGAGTGTTCCCAAGACAAGTCTCACTGAAGTAGATCCTGTCACGATTTCCAGGGACAGAAATTGATGAGAAAAAAAAATGTCCATGGCTTTAAACTTTAGACTAGAGTGAATCTGCTCAACTTGCTTGCTTTTAGTGGCGGTGTAACGGATAATGCCTTTTCAAAGCGGCTTCACGAAATGTGCTGCTGAGGAGAAACGCATTTGAGATGGTCACAGAAATTCTGAGGCTCTCCAGGGAGCCCGAGGAAAGGCTAGAACATTCTGAACAAGCTGTTAAGAGTGTTCAGGAGTTAACATGCATGTCAAATGACCCAGTCATCCCAAATATCATGTTAACACAAACAGAATTTAAGTTAGAAATACAAATCCTTGCAGTCTTTCTAAATCCAAATGAGGGGACCATACAGTCTTGGAACAAAACATGCTGAGATGAATGCATATCAGGTTTCTTTTCAGTTCCTCCCAAAGCAAATCGGTTTATTTCAACTGTTCATTTATCCACCATGTATTGACAGCACACTGAGAATACAGCACTGATGTCCAGTAGTAACAAGATACCACAGTCCCACCTCCCCAGGAACTGACATGCAAGTTGGAAAACACACATAGAAAACATTAACCTGACCTTTCAGTCAAGATAGAGTCAAGGCGACTGGCGTAACCCCAAAGGAAAACAGGGACAAAATATGAAACTGTGGATTTCAAGACACTGAACATTAATTAGGTGACAAAAGACTGATCCTGAGGGATAGAAAACAGACTGGGCAAGGGGGACAATCCAGGCAGAGCCCAGTGAGGACTGGAGTTCAGGCAACAGGGAGGGCATTAGACAGCAGGTCGGAGGGGAGAGTGGCTGGGAGAAAGCCTGACCTGTGGAGAGAAAGCAGAACAGGGGGATGTGCTGATTCGAATCTGAAACGGGCTCCAGTTTCAAGTTTTGAACATTCTGTTCCCAGTTTGTGGCAATATTTGGATGGCTGTGGAGTCTTCTGCAGTGGGTGTCCCTGGCAGAAGGTGGCTAGGGCCTGGTCTTTGCTTCTGGTTCTGGCCAGGTCTCCCTGCCACCCTGTGAACAGACTCCCACAGCCACAGCCAGTTATTAAGCCCCTCACACCTCCATGTTTTCCTCACAAAAGGGTCCTTTGAAATCTTTTTTCCCTTAAGTTGTTTCTGTCAGGTATTTTGTCATGACTATGCAAAGAGTAACTAACACAGTGAGAGAGCAGACTTTATTAGCCACATTGTAAAAACAAATTCATGGGCTTGGGTAGAACTCTAACAAGCACTGGGGACTAACAGACCCCAGCCTAACAGTTACAAAAGCCAGCGCCAAACCAGTACAAGCCACTTAGCTAACCCCTCAAATAAAGACAAAAAACATTTGTAGGAATGCAAATCAACCAGATAAAATTCAGTTTGGCATCCAATCAAAGATGATTGGAAGCAGCAAAATGTGATTCATAATGAGGACTTGTATCTAGACTTTATAAAGAACTCTCAAATCTCAAAAATAAGAAAACAAACTATCTTTTAAATATTAGCAAAACAATCAGGACACCAAGATGTGCAGATGACAAAAAGTTACGAAAAGATGCTCAACCCCCCAAGTCTTGGTAAAATGTAAATGAGAATCATAGTGGACTATGAAGAATGGGAAAGACTAAGGCCAACGAGATGGCTCAGTGGGTAGGGGTGCTTGCTGTCAAGCCTGACAACCTGAGTTAGATCCCTGGAACCATGTTAGAAGGAGAGAGTTGACTCTAAGTACACACACACACACACACACACACACACACACACACACACACAGAAGTAAATCGGAAAAAAACCCCAAAAGATTGGTCATACTAAGTGGGATCAAGAGAGAACCAGAACACTTACCCACCCAGTGCTGGTGTAAACTGGTCCAGCAAGGCCAAGAGGGAAAACAATTCTGCAGTTTGTTAAAATGTTAAACACACACCTACCGCTCGCTCAACCATGCCACATCCAGATACTCACCTAGGGAAATGGGAGCAGATGTTCACACTGAGACTTGCACCCAAATGCTCACAACTGCTTTACTTGAAACAGTCAAAAAGCTGGCAGCAACTCAAATACCCATCAGTGGGTGAATGGACAAATCTGTTCAGAGAAATGGTCTCCGAAATGAGAAGATGGCACAAAGACTCAGCACATGTGAGCACTCATCAATCTCACAATAATCATGTGCAGGGAAATGAGCCTGATCAAAAAAACACACTCCATACTGCATGGTTCAGTTTATGTAAAACCAAGGAGATGCACACTGTTGGGATGTGACACAGCAGATCAGTGATTGACAGGGGGTGCGGGTAGGTAGCATTTGGCTGGAGGAAGGGATGTGAAATGGCTTGAAGACACCTTGTGATGATGGGAAGTTCTTTACCCTGATGGTGCTGAAGATTTCACCTGGTGTGTTCATTCGTCAACAGCGCATACTTCAAATTGAGTGCCACATGCCAGGCACACCTCAGTAACAGGCTCTACAGCACAGGTCTTCAGCATTCTTCCAGAACTAAACGTCATTTTAAAATATTACTTATATTTGGAAAAAATACTTCGAAAAAAAATACTTCAGAAGTTTATTTTTCAAGCTGCAACAAGGAAATCAAAAGGAATAAATGTTAGCTCACAGAAAAACAATGTCCTACGCACACAGAGAAAGAGCTCGAAAAAGGAGAGCAATCCCACCCCAGGTGACTTAGTTCCCTACAATGAATGAGCACCAGAGTCAGTCATAGGGCTTCTGTCCCCTCTAGCTATCCTGTAGTCCACTGTGGCTCCCAGCAGTGGCACTGTGGGGTGTGGACACCTGAAGCGTGGTCATCAGCTGATCCCCAACCTCCTCTATCACAGGAGCCAGGGGAGAAGCCAGTGGCTGCCCTTCACTGACATGTGACAGCTGGCTGGCCATGTTCCTGCAGACCCCACCATTTCTGATGAGCAGGGCATTGCCCTCTTCCAAAAAGGGGCCTTGCAAAGAAGTGACTGGTATGGGCTGAGTCCCAGCATGCTCCTCTAACTCAGAAGCTGAGTCTTCGGTGCCAGATGATGTGGTGCCGTCCGAGTCTGACTCATCTGAGTCTGACCCATCTGAATCACTGGGTTCTGGACTGGAGCCCGGCATCTGCTGCGTGGAACCACACTGGGCTGCTTTTCTGGCAGTTTCCTCTTCTTGCACGAGAAGTGCAGCTGCTTCCAGCTCTTCCAGCTCTAAGTCCAGCTGGGCCTTGGTGAGAGAAACTTCCTTTAAGGCTTCTGCGAGATCGGTCAACTTTCTGGACCTTGAAAATTATATTAAGAAGAAAAATTAGAACTACAATAATTGGACTGGGGACAACAGGGTATAACAGAACTTCAAACACAGAGCCGACGCATTCCTCAGAGGGCACCCGTAAACCCCCAAGCAGATCAAAGATGTGTGGAAAAGGGAAGGCACGGAAGCAGTGAAGGAAGTGTAGGTTTTCTTTATGATCTTAGCATAAGAAAGGCTTTTCTGAGCCTGCCTCAGCACACAGAAGCTGCGAATGTAAAGCTTGATAAATTTAACTGAGGGAAACCCCAAAACTTTCACGTGAAAATGACCCAACTCATCAAAGCCAAGCCAAAAGGCTTGCAAGGTTGGGAAAAATATGTTCAAGCTACATCACAGACCAGAAGGAATTTTCAGAACTCTTAAAACACAACAATCCAATAGAAAAAAATGGGCAAATGACACAAGCAGACGATTCTCGCAAAAGAAAGTATAATGATGCTTAAATATCTGATATTCACCTTCAAACAGGAGAATGACAAACTAAGGTTGTACTGAGATATAGCATTCATTAATTGGGTTGGCAGAAACCCAAGGCTGCAGGGGAAATGCTCTCACGCTGGCTGGAGGGAGACTGAACAGTAACTACCTCCAGAAAAGAGAACTTGGCAGTGACTCTCCGAATTGAAAATACACATCCTCCTGACACAGCAGGCCCATGTCTGAAAGTGTGCTATATGACATGGGCCTAAGGTTCCAGTGATATGTCTGTAATACCCAAATGGGAACAAACAGATGACCCTGGATGAGGCAAGTCAGGCACACTGCTTGTAATAGCTCACCACATAGCTGAGAGCAGACACAGTGACATTTATTTACATCTATCTGTACACTCAGCAATAAAACCTGCAGAATGACAGAAAACAGTAACTTCTGTGGAGAGGGGCAACCTAGAAAGATGGAACAGGATGTGGATGGAGACTTTTTGTTGCTTACTGTTTTATTTATTTATTTATTTATTTATTTATTTATTTATTTATTTATTTATTTATTTATTTATTTTTGTTGTCTTGAGACAGGGTCTCCGTGTAGCCCCAGCTGGCCTCAAACTCACTATATAGGTCAGGCTGGCCTCGAACTCACAGAGATCCACCAGCCTATTCCTCCCGAGTGCTGGGGCTAAAGGCGTGTGCCACACCCAAATTACTGTTTCATTTTTAAATCTACCAGGAATGTAATACCTACTACTTAAAAATGTTCAAATTTTAAGCCAAGTGTGGTGGCACACACTTTTAATCCCAGGACTGGGGAGCAGAGGCAGGGGCAGATTTCTGTGAGATCTAGGCCAGCCTGGTCTACATAGCTAGTTCCAAGCCAGCTGGGAGTACAGGGAAACACTGTCTCAAAAAGACCAAAAAAAAAAAAAAAAGTTCAAATTTTGGGACTGGCAAGATGGCTCAGTAAGAAAAGGTCCCTGCGGCCAACCCTGATATGAGTTCCATCCCTCAGAACCCACACGAGGAGGGAGAAAACTGACTGATCAAATTGTTCACTGATTTTTACACGTGCTCCATCATTCATGTGTGTCACACACGCAAACACTAAACAAAATAGTAAAACATTTAATGTTTAAGAAAATTTAAGAAGTATGGATTTTATTTGTTAATCAGAAAACCATTTCATATTAATTCATAGGACCTTTTCCTCTAAATTACCTACCAGATTTGTAACACTACATCACATGGGTAAACACATTTTTATTAACATTACTTAGGTGTTTTTGTTAATGAGTCAACATAATGCAGTCTGTCCATTTGCTATTCAGAAGGACAAAATCTACAGTGACAACTGAAGAAAGGTGTCAGCTAATGAAAATATAAAGAATGACAAGGTTTCACATTTCCATAACTTCAAAAACTAAATGACTATACTGGGGGCTGGAGAGATGGCTCAGTGGTTAAGAACACTGGCTGTTCTTACAGAAGATCTGGGTTCGAATCCCAGCACCCACATGGCGGCTAACAACTGTCTGTAACTCCAGTCCCAGGGGATCCGACAGCCTCCTCTGACCTCCGTGGGCATTGCACGACACGGGTGCACTTACCTACATGCAGGCAATACATGCATACACATAAAATACATAAAATTAAAAAAAAATTAAATGACTACACAGAACATTTAGTGGCTTTGAGACAAACTGGGTGAGAGGGTGTTTAAAAGACAAATCCATTGGTGTAAGAGTATTCTATCTCATTACATTGGAAAACTGAGGCTCCATTTAAGGAGAGCTGATGTGAACAAAGATGGCATTTCCCACCAACGTGCCTTTCTGTGTCTGGGCCCTTTTCTCACAATATTTAGTGTCAACATGAGTTTCTGCTCACAGGAGGCATCAAGCATAGAGGTATCATTACAGTGTCCAAGGATGGGCAAAAGGCAGAGTGGGATGAAGGGGATGAGGACAGCAGCATCCATGATGGAGAAAAAGCCTTGGGTTTCAGTATGAGATTCCCAGAGCTTAGCCAAGGGGAGGTGGCCACACAAGGTAAAGAGGAGACTCGTACAAGGCAAGGCCAGATAGAGTTAGCTAGCGATTCAGCAAAGGGACAACCTGCAGTTGGACTTTCATCACTTTAAAAATTATTCAAAGTGCCGTTGTAGAGTAAGATGACGGCAGTGTAATTAGCATCCATGTTCAGATGCGGTAGATACTAACCATCATATATTTTGAAGTTTTAATGACCAGTGGTAAAGGTTTGGTTAGAGATGGTTGGACAGCTCAAAACATCTCCAGCCCAAGGCCCACTTGGCCTAGACACTAGTTCACCACCATATTTCCCAGAGAAGAGTTCTCTGGGTTGTGACCTATAGCTTTCACAGATAAAGAATGGAAGGTTTGGGGCTGGAAAGATGACTTAGTCAGCAACTCAAGCATGAGAACCTGGACACATATGTAGAAAGCCAGGCATGGTGGTGTGCTTCTCTGTGACCCTAGCACTAGGGCAGAGGGCAGAGCTCAATGGTCACCGAGACAAGTTCAGTGAAAGAGTGTCTCAAAAATTAACATGCATGTCGGGTGTGGTGGGCACATTTTTAATCCCAGTACTCTGGAGGTGAGGAGCAGGCAGATCGCTGTGAGAACAAAGCCAACCTGGTCTACATAGTGAGTTCCAGGCTAGCTGGTGCTACAGCAAGACCCCATCTCAACAACAAAATAAAACAAAAAAAGCAACAACAACAAAAAATTAAAGCACAGAGTGATAGAGGAAGATACCTGATGTCCACCTGTGGCCTCCATATACATGGCACACACATATACACTACACAGACACAGACTTTGACATGTGGTCTCCATATATATGGCACACATGTACACATTACACAGATACAGAAACAGACACAGGCACACACACAATGGTAAGCTTGAGAAAGAGGATACTCCATCATTAATCTATGAGAAATAAAAATTTAAATGCTTTTACTTTAGTGACCACGTAACTCTTTTGTAACAGTCATGATAAACATGTCTGACAATACACAAAGTGGTATTTGCTATAGTTAGTAAGAATCTTGACTGGCTCTTGAAGTGTGGTCTCTAGCCTGTGGTAGTGGAGGTGGTAGAACCTTCAGGAGGTGAGGCCTAGGGAGAAGAAGCTAGGTCACTGTGGGTGTACCTTAAAGGGTCCCCAAGCCTCTCCTCCCTGCATTCTGCTTCCTAGATACCATGAGGCACACAGGCTTTTCTGCCAAGTTGCTACAAATATAATCCTACCATGTAACTTGAAAAAAGTTTTATTCTCTGTACAATTGTAACATAATACATTTGGAGGGTTTATTTATTTATTTTTATGTGTATGAGTGGGGTAAGTTTTTTGCCTGCATATATGTAAGTGCACCTGTATGTGCAATACCATGTGGGTATTGGGAACCAAACCTGGGTCCTCTGTAAGAGCAGTCAGTGCTTTTAACTCTGCTGAGCCATCTCTCTGGCCCCAGGAGGATTTTTTTTTTTTTAAAGACTGTTGACAAGTTGTAGTAAATTTAAATATTGTGAAAGAGTTATAGCAACTGTTGAAAGAATATGCCTCTGATGTGGCTAAGGTGATATAAAATTCCCTGAATTATTTTACATTTACATTTTATTTTTTGGGGGTGGGGGGGGGAAGAATCCACAGCCTTATGAAACAGCCAAACAAAGTGTAAGATGGGTCTAAAATGTACTGGGGAAAGGGGGAATGGGAAGCACACTTCCTGTTCTGGCGTAGAACTTTGTTTTAAGCCATCTCTCAACTTTTCACCACTTTCTGCAGTGGTGGGTCTACTATAAATCTCATAGTAAAATGACTAGGTTTCATTTCCTCTGCCCAAACCTCAGTGGCCTGCCAGGCAGGACACCATGAAACTAGAGCCCACACCTGCAAATGCAGGCCAGGACTCCAGCAAGGCAACTTGAGACCTCTCATACTGATGACAGAGTCTGCTGCCTCACCGCCAGGACACTGCCTCTTACAGGATTCTGTCCCTTAACTCCATCTGTAGCCTCAGGTTCATTCTGGAGCCAAGCAATGATGCTGTCTAAATACCCTCAATGCCAAGAGAGTATTCCTTTCTGTTCTAAAGTTAGAACCAATTCTAAACTGTAGGGGCCTCTACCCCAAATGTGTATTTAAAATTTTTTTTAAATTATATTTATTTATTTTGGGTACATGGAGGTGGAGGTATGCTATAGCTTGTGGATAGAGATCAGACAACTTGCAGGAGTCAGTTCTTTCCTTCTAGGGATCAAACTCTGAACATCAGGCTGGGTGGTGTCTTTACCAGCTGAGCAGTATCTCACTAGTCCTTGCCCCAAAGGTATTTTATAGCCTAATCTAAAAGGTTTTAAGTAGAAGTTGCTGACAAAATTCTGATCTTGCTTCTGAGAGGTATATGAACACAGACCTGGCTGCTGTTAGTCTACAAGTGAAAAACATCTGCAGCTCAGTCATTAAGGTCAGCATTTAACACCTCTGAGTAAGAAGCTACAGTTTC